CTGGTCCGTAGGGCAGGCGTGATATGACCTCCGGCGACATCCAGTACGGTGTGCCAACCAGACTCTTGCGCTTCGGCAGCTCCTGGGACACCTGGGCGCAGAAACCAAAATCCGATAGCTTCACCCGTCCATCGGCGGCCAGCAGAATGGAGTCCGACTTGATGTCGCGATGGATGACGCCCTGTTTGCCAATCGGAAGCACAGAAAGCACCAAAAGAGAGAAATGGAGAGAAGGGAAATTGGTTAAAAGTGCTCACAGTTTGCGGTTTTCCCCCACCACACGCCCTTTCTCTCAGACACTTATCGCATTACACGAGCCAACGTGGGACAAAAATGCACAAAAGAAACCAGCTCAGCCCTGTGACGCCCAAAAAGAATGCCCTGTCCATGGGAACTAGTGCTCCCCTTACCTAGAAAGTGCACCTAACTGGTTCTAGTTCTAATTTCATTCAAATGGATCAAATCAAACACGTTTTAAATGCCTAGTATTGCGCAAGTTTGGGTTCCAATACTCTAGTTAACGAATTAATAGTTTATAGTTTACAATTTAAGTTTGTCAATTAGTGGAACTTTTAAATAAAAAACAAAAGCAAGTTGTACAATTTAACTATTCTGCAACTCCTATCGATTTCTGAACCTTAAAATTCAACATTAAAATGGGTTCTCTACATTTTTTAAGCCTATCTCAAAATTAGTCTTTCATTACACTAAAAATCAAGGAAATATCAACTTAGATGAATATCTAACCTTGTATCTCTTAAAGAAATCTATTTTAAACGAGAAATTCGAGCTTCCTATTGGAAATAACTAGTACAAGCAATTGAAAAGCGCTGTTTTGGGGTAGGGCATGCACGTGCGATTTCACCCGGCACTTTGGGCGTGCAACACGACTGGTTGCCCCACTGTGCGGCCGACGACTTTTGCTGGTGACAACATTTAGAAATTGAAACCAAAGCCACGCGAAAGCAGAGGGCGAAGAAAGCGCCGCAAATGGCAAGCCAATGGCACAAAGAATCGCATGGCGAGTACAGGCAGGGCCCAGTACTTGGCCAGTTTGGCCAGACAATGGTGAGGAAACCACCAGCAAGCGATGAGGGGAAAGGGCAGCGAGAACGGGAGCGGTAACTGGGCAGTGTCATGCTGGTCACGCACCTGTGAGTGCAAATAGGCCAAAGCCTTCAAGCACTGCTTGCAGACGGTGGCTATCTGCTCCTCGTCCATCCGCGAGTGGGTGACAATGTCGGTGAGGGCGCCGCCCTCGAGGTACTCCATCACCACCCAGAGCTCATCGTTGACCAGAAAGCTGGAGTATGTCTCCACGATATTGGGATGATGGTAGTCTCGCATGATGACCACCTCATTGAAGAGCAGTTCGCGCCGCTGCTGTTTGCGCAGGTCCATCTTCTTCACGGCCACCTGGCGACCTGGACAAGAAAACCATTAAATCAATTGCTAGCCAAGATTTTTGGGGGGTGTATTCTTACCTGTCGATTTGTCTGTGGCAATGCACACAGTGCCCGTGGAGCCCTCGCCTATTTTATTGAAGTGGTCGAGATTCTCGCGCGGATCTCCGGCGGAAACGACCATTTGCAGGGCAGCACGGAACTGTTCGTGGGTCAGGCGCTGGTCCTGCTTTGGCTGACCACCCGCTCCGCCTGCCTGCTGGGCAGCACTGCTGGCTCCGCCGCTCGAGCTGGAGGCCCTTGAGGCCGACTTTGCCAGATGCTGATGAGGATGCGGATGCTGGTGCGGATGGGCATGTGGATGTAGAGGGTTTTGGTTCTGATCGCCGCCCTGTTTGGCCTGCTGCTGCTGTTGCTGCTGATGGTTTGTGGGATACATGGGAGGATAGCTGCCGCTGTTGCCATTGTTCGTGTGCGAGTGATTGGATCGCGTGCCGCTGGCCACCGAACCCACGGGCGAAGTCTGCTGTTGCTGTTGTTGCTGGGGAATGGAGCCGCCGGATGGCGGGGCCAGATTGCTGCGATACTGCTGCAGGTTGGTCTGATCCGTGCGCACGGCCAGCGGACCAGTTGCTCCATTGGCGTGCGCATGCTGACTGGTATAGAGCAGGGCGGGATGGCCACCAGGATTGGGGGGCTTAAAGGCGCCACCTCCTCCGCCTCCAGCTCCGACGGGAGGACCCTCTTCCTCCGGCACCGATGGCGGCACATTGGCCACCCGTCGCACTCGCGGCGGACTGGAGCTCCTCAGCGAATTGGATCTGGCCACATGCGAGGTCTTGGGCAGGATTATGCCGCCCGCCTCGGGTGGCAGCATCATGCCGGGGCCGTGGTTCATCAGGGGATGTGAGCCGGGTGCCATGGGGTTCATCGGTGCCATGGAGCCGCCCATCATCATGGTGCTGCTGCTATTAAGCGACGTGGTGTCCGCCTTGTTGTTGTTGTGATGCGGCCGCACAATGGTCTTCAGATCGAGAATCTCCGTGGGCGTGATCTCGGAGGGATCGACGAGCGGTAGCGGGCGGTTGGAGGACTTGAGGATCTGATTGTTGCCCACAATGGAGGCCCATTGGAGGGGCAGGCCCACATATTTGTTCTCCCGCTTGTCGAAGCCCGTGTGGACACGATGCTCGAAGTTGCTGGGCATCGAGATCAGCGGTTTCTTTTTCTTCTTCGAGAACATCTTCAGCGACGACTCGGATTTCCCGTGCTCCAAATTTCTGCCTGTTTGCCGCCCTTTTCTTTCGGTTTCTCTCCTTCTCCTTTTAATTTTCTTAATTTGCCTTGCCCCGCGACAATGGAAAATCCACAAACAACAAACGATGGCAACGGCAACGGCAGCAACAACAACAACAGTAACAACAACTTCTTCCCGATCCGATCTCACTCACACACACACATGCACGGACACGGGCACGCACACACACACATATCAGCGGACGCGACTGGGAAACTGCGCTTGGATTGTTGTCCAAATCGAAATCCGCAACCGATTTACCAGTCGCTCCGGTGGTCAGCACATATCGCTATTGGACAACAGCACGAGCAATTTGGGGAGCAAAAAATATAAACTTAGGGAAATAATTGCCGATGCCAGAAATAGAGGTGGTGTTTATCGTGACTATTGGCGATGGTACGGCAGTCGATGGTTATCGGTATCGTCTATCGATATGGGCTGGCTGTGGCAGCGTCTATCGGTTGGTCGGTCTGTGGTAAGTTTCCCTGTGGTTAGTTGGCTTTTAAAATTTTATGTTTCAGCTAATCAGTAATAAATCTCAAGTTTCAGTTATTCAAATTAAAAACTATTATAAAATACTACCCATGGAATTTTCATATTTTTGCAACCCCAAAACAGAGAACAAAATGAACAGCAAGATTTAAATTATAGACAGTTTTCCAGTGGTTAATTGGCTTTTCAAATTTTATGTTTACCTAAACAGTTTTAAAACTCAAGTTTAAGTTACTCAAATTTTAAACTTTTATTAAATATTCCCCATTAAACTTCTTATCTAAGCACCCCGAGAACTGAGGGCAAAATGCTCAGCAATGTTTCAATTATGCTGAGTTTTCCACTGGTTAATTGGCTTTTTAAATTTAATGTTTTAGCCATTAGTGTTAAATCTCAATCTAATTGTAAATATATCTAATCCTAAGCACCCCCAAAACTCAGAGCAAAATGCACAGCATGGTTTAAATTATCATACCGCATATATTTACTTATTTACATTATGATACCTTTTCTTTCTCAACATTAAGACTTCTGATTTTCACTTCTGTTGTCGACTTAAACATGATCAATTTAAAATTATAATAAAATATTCAATGTCCATCATGAATATATGTATATAAAAAACATGCATATAATCGTAACTTTTTCCGCTCTCCATCATCATCATCGCCACCCGACGTCTCAGTATCCCCACCAATCTTATCTGTTATCTGTTAGCTATAGGTTTTTGTTTGTTTACGTTGCTAGATAGTTGTTTGCTTTAATTTGTTGGCTTGTTTCCACCTTGGCTGCTGCACGGATGCACTGATGCACGGCTGCAATTTGATGTTGCAGGACTCCCCTGGCAACACACAAGGGTCTCGTGTATGCATCGTATGTAAATCTAAAATCTAAAATCAATAATCAATAACAAAAACTAAGACTTAATGCAATCGTACACCTCTATCTCTGTGGCTGCAACCATTATCTTCTCGGCTCATCGGCCGATCACTCTGCGTTCGAAAATTGTCTAGACAAATGATTTTACTTTAATAAATGTAATATATATATATATAATGTAGTTTAGTTTTTGCGCTATTATTTTCTTTCGCATCTGTTTGCAGCACTTTTCGCTTCTTTACAATTTCACAAAATAATTATTACATAATTATCGTATATAAGCATATTATGATCAACAAAAATTAATTTAAAAAAAAGTGTATTAAATTTAAAAGGTCAAAACACACACGACTGATTGTCCCATTTTAGGGGGCGTGTGTGAATAGACCAACGAAATTTGTATAATTTATAATCATGTGTAGGTGTAGTTCGGAGTCATCGCTGCTGCTGCTCCTCCTTGATCGGTCTCATCCAGGTTTTTGAGTCGTCTCAGTCGTCGTCGTCTCGCTGAAGTTGATGCGCCGCACTAGCTTGTAGCGACCCCTTAGCACGTGTACGCCGGCTGTTCCAGATCCTGCTCGTCCCGCATAATGGTTGTTGTCCTGGTCCTGGTCGCCTATGGTTGGCCTATGGCCACGGCCCTCTCTGCCGTGGTATTTGTTGCGTGGCCTGAATGCGTATGGTGGGGCTGGTGCTGCTGCTCCTGCTCCTGCTGGGGCGCCACCACCTACTACTTCTGTCTCCGGTCCTATATTCCTTGTGCTGCCACCACGCACGAATCGGTACTTATCCAGACGCGGCTGCTGCCACTGACGCTTAAGCACTTGGTGCATCAGGCCCAGCTCCAGCTGCTGATAGTGTTCGATGAGCGGGCGATTCCGCTTCTTGGCCAGGTCGCTCTTGGTAACTCCAGCTCCACTATCTCCTCCTTGTTGTCCTCCTTCTGCTCCTCCTCCCACTGGCACCCCCAATCCTAATCCTAATCCGATGGCGGCCTCAGCAGATGCATTTGCTATCTCGACGGCCGACTGCGATGCCATTTCTACCGGGGCGGCAGGCGGCGCACTGGATTCCGAATCTTGCGACGAGCCATCTGCGAATTCTGCGCCGAATTGCCGGCTGCTGGCGGATTGAAGCTGCGGATTAATAAAGGATTAGTACATCATGTTTGGCCACCGATTCTCGAGACATCTGCGGGCGGCTGTGGCGGAGCGAGTATACACATATATATATATGTATTCATTTCGTTCGAGTCTTCATCACACAACCGCAAAATACTATAAAAAACATTAACCAAAAAGGTTTTATGGCAACGAAATGACAAGTGCTGTGGACAAAACGAAACAATGGAACACACACAAATAATACAAACACAAACTGTAGAGGAACATGGCAATCGGATGGTCACGGGATATGGAAAATCGTATATCCCATATTTAGACAGAGGTACATTTAACATTCAGATAGTAAAAAATGCATTCCTATTCCATGGGGGAAATGGATGCGATAAAAACGTGTCAAGGCAAGATGAAATGCACAAATCATTTTTTTACTTGATAGTGGCTAGTCCGTAGTTCTGATAAAATGATATATTTTAACATCAAATGTGCTTTTAATGGTCCAACCCAAAGTATTTTATTGGTTTCTTATGAGAATGGAAGGTAAACGTTAAACTCAGATGTAGATCATACATATAGTTGGGACAGGATCATGGTAAAAATGTTGTCGCTTTTTATATGTCCTCAAAAGTGATGGAACTCTAATGATAAACAAACCTTTATCAGAAGCTTTTAGCTATAATGGACTTGCTAGCTACATATGAATTTATGTATGACGTATCTCTATTTTTTCCTTAAAAAGATATATCATTGATAAAAATTTTTTGTGTTCTGATTTTTTTTCGATAAATTTTATCGTATTCGATTAACTTTCTATCTTCTGAGACGCCATAAAAATAAAATTAATAATAAAATGCTTTTCTTTAAGAAAAATACTAATATTATATAATAATTCTAAGGTTGTTTTTTTATCCTATTTTAACAGAAACTTTGAAAACCTGAAAATAGCTTTAAGAACTTTCTTATAAATGTTAATGTAAGATCTGTTTAAACATGTCCATAGATTTCATCTTCCTTTTTATGTTACCTTCTTTTTTTTTGCTGTAGAACAAAGACAAAACAAAGGGAACGCACAAAAACAAAAAACAAAAGCCGTACAAATTAGTTTAACATAAATGCAACTATAACGGTTAATTATGCAGCTGTGTGTGTTTGTTGTGTATTAAAAACATCTGTGTGGGTGTGGAGAGTGTGCTTGTTGGTTTTTGTGTTGGTAAATTGACCAAGTCAATGTGGGAAAGAGGGAGACGAAAAAAAAAAATAGATGATCGTCATCTCCCCTCTCTGTTTCTGTCTCGCTCGCACCCATTCAGGTGTGTTGGATGGGGGGGGTGGTGGGTTTGGGTTCAGCCGCCCGCCAACGGATCACCCATCTCTGTCTTACTTACGCAAATATATTGGCTGGCGCTGGGGAACCGGCGCTAAATTGGAACGGTGCATTGGCATTCGGCGTTGACTGCAAGAAGAATATTTTTGGTTTGTTTTCCTTGGTAAGTTTGTTTTGTTTTCAAGTAATTTTTTTATAGGCGACGGTTCACGATGGTTTGGTGGGTTTTGTATTTTTTTTTTTTTCATATGGGTGGTTATTTACAAAAAGTCTTGATATAAGACTTTGGATCGAGTGCAGATAGGAATGATATTGGCTACACGAAAAATGACAGCTGGTGTGCATCTGTATGCGTGTGTGTGTGTGTGTGTATAGGTGTGAGGAGGCGGGCGATGCAGGTGTGCATGTGTGAGTGCTTGTCAAAATATTACGGTAGAAGCATGCTAAACTACACTTAAAACAATTGACACTGTAAACACAAACTACTTTTAATTATAAATATAATTTTAATCAGAAAAATTTGACAAGCCCTGCGACACAAGCACTTTGAGTTCAAATTCAACAGCTACGCAAATACGTTTAACTAAGCATGCAATTTAAGTTAATGCTAAAGCTAAATGAAGCATGACGAGGTAAGCACGATATAAATGGTATGTATATTTATGATTTTTGTACCAGGACTGTCAAAGAAATCTCAGACAATTTAATTAATTGCCTAAAAAGTTTCTATAAGTGTTTTATGATGATAATTAAACGAAATTTTTTTTTAGTTACTAAATTTAAGATCTTGATACCAAAACAAACCATATGTATTTACAATAATTTAATGTTTCAATTTTAAAAATATTTTATAGGAATTTTACTGATATATTTTATGATTCCGACAATAAAAAAACATAATTGTTAATAAATTTACCAGAAATATATTCTTTAAAGAGGTCTTTCATATCTAATTTCAAAAGACTGAAACAGAAAATATTAAAAACTCTTTAAAAGGGTTTTGAATTCATATGTATCAGAATGAAACAGGAAATATTTACTTTTACATTTAAATTATACAAAAATTAAAAAAAAGCATGACAAGCAATTACTACACCTAAGGAACACAATATCAGACATGAAACTATATCTAGGCAGATTTCTTAGACATTCCCCAATGGTACATTTCAGTGCATATAGTGGTCGAGATTAGCAATCGTGAATCGTTTAAATCGAGTCGATGGAACTCTCTCGATTTTGACCACGACGACTTCGCATTACCTGCATCAGCGGCGCCGCGGCGCTAAAATTGAACATGCCGGCGGAGGAGTTGGCTCCTCCCGCTCCACTGGCCTGGTTATCAACCGCCGCCAACGGATTACCAAATTGGAAGATGCGCGGCTGCGCCTGCGTTTAAATTCGGTTTCGGTTTGGGATTCAGATTCAGATTCAGATCCATTCGGTTCATTATCATGTTCATTTAGTAGGTTCGTTCATTTGGTTCATTTTCATTATTTTTTTGTGTTCATTTAGTGGGTGGTTCGTAATCATAATCGTGGTAATCATAGGTGGTAGTAAGATGGATGGTAGTAAAGTTGGTTCGTGCCCGTGCCCACAAAGTTTTCAGTTTTTTCAGTACAGAGAGTGTACATTACAGATTTATGGAAGTGGCGTAGTTAAGGAGGTATACATAGATTACATGGTATACGACAATATTTCAACAGTAACAACACGCACGATCGTTTGTGTGTAGAAAGGGTGGTGGAAAAAGATATAAAAAAAAAAGAAAAGGAGAGAAGAATACAAATAAATATATGTATATATATAGATATTATGTATAAAGTTAAGAGGTAAAATCAATAGGGTAAAAGTAGTTCTAAATCAATATAATCGTATCGAATCGAATCGGTCAGTTATGTTAGGAGGATCGATCGATTGTTAGCGCATTGTTATCATCGCTATAACGACGGGGTGGCATGCAAGACGTTAAGGTAAATCAAAAGGAGTTATGAAGGACAGCTACGACTACAAACAACCGCAAACAAATTTGCATGGATGAAAGTGAGAGATTGTTTATATCATCACATCGAGCTCTGCTCACATCGATCATCTCTTGGTTTTATTGGGATACTATGTAAGTGGGTCAGGTCTAGGTGGGTGGTTAGCTGGATGGGCAATGATATACTTACATCGCCGCCGGAAAGACTGGTGGCCGCCGGATTGGCCGTGAAGTTGAAGGTGGCCGCCTGAGGAGTCGAGCTCGCCGTGGAGCCTGTAAAGTTGAACGCAGGTTTGGCCGCCGGCTCGTTGGTGGTGCTTCCAAATTTAAATGGTGCACTTGAGGGCTGCAAAAGTGAGAAAAAGGGATTAGCAAAATTTAAAGGAAAAAGGTATGCTTTAAAGTCACATATCATATAGTACTCACAGCTGGCGTGGCTGCGGCTGCTCCGCCAAAGTTAAATGCTATCTTCGATGCTGGTGGCGCTGTTGAGGCCGCCGCCGCTGCTGCAGCTGCTCCGAATCCTCCGCTGGTGCTGCTGCCGCTACCAAAAACAGGCGCAGCCGCCGCAATGGGCGTGGGATTGCCAAAGATGTTGGCCAGCGGTGCAGCGGCTGAAGCAGCGGGCGTGGTGGCAGCTGGTGCTCCCGGTGCCACCAGAGAGTTGCCCACATTCCCAAAGACGCCAGCGAGGGCTCCGTTGCCACCCAAACTAGCTGCCGCCGGTGTGGCTGCGGCCGTTGTCGCCGTCGATCCGAAGGGTGAGCTACTGGTGCTGGTGGTGCTGCTGCCGGCTCCAAACATGGAACTGCCGCCAAAGACTGGCGTGGCCATCGTGGAGGCCGAGGATGAGGAGACCGCCGCACTGGTGATCGCAATGCTGTTGCTCTTCGCCGCGGCTCCATTGCTGGACCAGCCAAAGCTGGGTGTGGTCGTCGTTCCCGATCCGGCTGGCGATCCAAAGGCGAATGCCTTGGCCGCGCTGCTGGTCGTGGTCTCCGCCTTCTTTTCACCCCAGCTGCCAAAGAGCTGCGGGGTCGAGGTGGGCGCAAAGCTTGGAGCAATGGCATTGGCCGTGCTGGTGGTGACACTCAAGTTGGAACTCGAACTGGAGCTGGTCGTGGTGCTCACCGCTGCCCCAAAGATGGAGCTCACGTTGGTGTTGGCTGGCATCGCTGCCGGGGCAGCTGGTGTCTGGCCAAAGAAGAACGTTCCAGCACTTGAAGTGGCCGCCGGTTTTGCCTGACTCCCAAAGCTAAAATTGACCGCTGGAGCAGGTGCTGAGGTGGCCGCCGCTGGCGCTGGAGCTGGAGCTGCTGCCGGTGTTAGGGCAAAGGCTGTGGTAGAGGTCGTCGTTGTTGTAATGGCATTCGAGGAAACACCAAAGCTCAGAGTGGCCGACTTGGGCGTGGGCAGCTGGCTACTGGTGCTGCTCACGGCACTGCCGGCTCCCGAAAAGCTGAACATGGGCTTGACAGCCGTGGGGTTCGCACTAGTGCTGGCCGTGGAACTGGACACGGTCGAGGATGATGATGGAGCACCAAAGCTAAAGCCACCCAAAGCAGGAGTCGTGCTGGGGGTGGTTGTGGTGGTGCTGCTGCTGTTGGTAGTGCTGGTAGTGATTGAGCTGGCCGTGGTCGCCGTAGTTGGGGCCTTGAATACAAACTGGAGGGCTGGAGCTGCAGTTGAAGCTGTTGTTTCCGTGCTGGAAGTGGCTTGGGTTTCCTTGGCGTCCGCCTTAAAGCTCACCGTCTTGGGCTGTTCCACTTTGTTAACGCCAAACGCAAAGGTCTTCGTGGGTTCCGTCTTTTTGCTGTCCGCCACATCCTTACCCTGAGTGTTGTTCGTCGGGAATCCAAAGCTAAATGTACCAGTGGCTGTGGGCGGTGCCGGTTTCACTTCCACGGGTATCTTGACAACTTCCTTCACCGCTCCAAATCCAAAGCTAAATTTAGGCACCGAACTGGCGGACGAGTTCGCCGAGCCGCTGCTGCCGGAGGAAGCCGAGTTTGCGGATGTTGTGGGGGCAGAGCTCGCTGCTCCCGGCTTCAGTTGCTCGCAGCAGATGCATTTAACTCGTGACATATCATTCTGGGCCATGCACGCATCGCAGTCCCAACTGGCTGCCTTTTGTGCTGCCACCAGCTGCTTGAATCCAGAATCCTGCTTGGGCGCCTCGGCTGCTGATGCTGGTCTGTAGCCATTCTGAGAGCTGTCGCTCGAGGATGCAATGCTGATGATACCCGGCGATGATCCGCCTGATGTTGCAGCGGATGATCCAGAGGATGAACCGGATGATGACCCAGAGGACGATGATGAGGAGGAAGATGACGACGCGGATGGACTCCGGGCGGCTTCGTTCCTTGTGCTTTTCGCTTGTGCATTGGGCGTCTGGCAGGCGACGCACTCGGCGGCGCTAGAATTGTTCATTACCAGGCACGTCTGGCACTCCCACGTGTTGGCCTTTGGCTTAAATGCCATACCAAAACCGGATCCACTAGACGCCAGATTGTTGGCGATCAGCGGGAAGTTGTTAACCTTTGGCGACGCTGTTTTTCGCGGTGTTTCGCAGGCAATGCACTTGCTGGCCTCCGCCTTGTTGGACAGCATACAGGCGTCGCACTCCCAGGCTGACGAGGATTTCTTAAAGCGGTCTCCAAAGCCACCACCCAGTGGCACAATAGCTGTCGTGATTGGTGCTGCCTGGACGGGAGCAGCATGAGCTGCAGTTGCTCCCGGTTTGGCCGTCTCACAGGCCACACATTTACTGACCTCCGCCTTGTTGCGCACCATGCACACATCGCACTCCCACTCCTTTGATGACTTTTTAAACTGCTCTCCGAATCCCTGCGTGGTATTCTTAGGTGGCTCCACTGACACTTGCTGCAGCTCATCGAGTGAAGCTGGTGCCGGGAAGGAGTACTTGCGCCTGATATCCGATTTGGCGACGCAGTTCTGTTGCGAATTCGACAAAGGTATGGGCTCCGAGAAGTTAAATGTGCGTCCCGCTGGTTTACTGACTGCCGTAACGTTTCCATTGGCCGAAAAGTTTACAATGGGAGCCGTTGGCTGCGGATTGGCCAGGAAGTTGGGCAGCTGCTTGGAGTTCGTATAAACGTTGCTATTGCTCTTATTACTGATGATTGGGGCAACGGGAGCTGGTTTTGAGACAACTGGCACAGTCGGTTTGATGACCAAGTCGAACTTTGGAGCACTGGCCATGTCTGGGAAACTGATCTGGGGCAGATCCAGCGGCAGGGGTGCCTCGTCCAGTTCCGCGCGTGGCTCTTTGTTGCGCGTCTGATGTGAGAGTCGCGAACGCATCTTGTTTGTGTGATGACTATGGCTGCTGGGCTGATCCACTGGAGCAACATAAGGTGTTGTTGCTGCTGTGGTTGTTGTTGTTGCTTGATTGGCTTGCTTCTCTTGGTTGTTCTCCGTGCGAGGACGAGTGATCTGGCTTTGCACCACGTCTCGCGAGTTCTGGGTAACGCGGTGCAGTCGCCGGCGTTCCAGGAGCTGCTGCATTGTTGGCACCAGCAGTTTGTTAGAGCGCAGTTCCGATAACTCGGTAGCCAGACTGGGCACTGAAGTGGGCCGACTGGCGTTCAGGGGATACGAGGGACGCGGATACGGCGTGGCCGGAGTAGCTTGACGCTGCTGGCGACTGCTTTGGTGCTCCTTGAGGGTACTGCCCATGCGCTTGGCATCGATCAATGGCGTGGAGTAGCTGTCCAGCAGGTTGAGGATGCGCAGCGTGGTGTTCGACAGGCCGGAGCCGGACTTCTTGCTGCCACTTTGATCCACAGTGGTTTCCGAAACGTTACCGCCATCGGAAGGTCGCATATCCACCGCTTTCATGCCGTATCCAATGCCACCGGTCAGGGAACCCTGCAGCGGATGCGCCGGTGAACTTCCGGCAGAATTAATGGCCAACGTGGAGGATGCGGCGGAGGAGCTCAGATTGCTGCGACTGAAGATGCGATTGTTCGCGGAATTGCCGCCAAAGGTGGTGCGTCCCTGGTAAAAGGGTGAGCTGGAGGCAGACGCAGAGCCGGAGGTTGAGGCACTGCGGCTTAGCAGGCGACTGTCACTCAGCGCCGAGGTGCTGCCGTATATGGAGGCATTAAAGCGTCGTCGCTGGTTCAGGGAATTCAGGGACCACGTTGAATTCCGATGCGATGGCTGTGCGGTGGCATTGCTCCTGTTAAATATCGACTTGGTGCTCTGCAGATTGCCGTAGAACTCCAGATTGCTGTTGCTGTTATGATGTGCGGGCCTTAGTCCATCGTGGCCCTCGCCATTGTCGTGGTAATCGTTCACATCGCTCTCGGATTGCGAATCTCCGCCAGCAACCGCTGGCAGTTCAGTTCGTCTTGACTTTGACTTGATGACATTATTGTTATTATTATTATTGTTGCTAATGTTGTTGTTGGTCTTGCTGATCCTCAGCAAATGATCGAGGCGATCTCCATCGGCATTGGATATCGAGCCCAGGCCCAGTCCAGCTCCCGTCTCGTCCATGGTGAGGTCACGGCGATGGGTTCGCTGGCCCAGAAGTGAGGGTCGCTTGTGGTTAGAAAGGCTGGAGAGGCTGTTGTGGCTGGTGGCGGTGCCTCCGAAAGGTATGTTCAGCGAACGGCGGATGCTGAAATTATAGCAAGAATGGCATTAGTAAGGGAAAGCGATTAATGAATTACTAATTTCTTAAATTCCCTGCTTTTCAGGATTTCAAAAGGACCATATCCCACTTCATATTTCTAGATAGATTATTTCTTTCGGGAAACCCTTACCTGTGCGGCAGATCCCCGGTGCTGCCCTCGGCGGCTTCGTTGCCAGTGAAAAAGTTGTAGGCGGGTTCACGCTGCCGTAGATTGCCATACAAATTGAGGTGGTTGCGCCGGTGTGGAGCCAACTGGCTGCCTATCCTGGATCCCGCCATCTGGGAGGCGGAGGAGCTGGTGGCAGCCACGAGTGGGGCAGCAGGCGTGGATGACAACAAGGGCAGACGACGCATGTTGGGCAAGTTGACAGTGGTCTCCAGCTGGAAGAGATTGAAGATTAAGAGAGGATCGTGAACAGAACTCAATGTGTTACGCTTACCTCCAGACGCCGACGCTTGGGCTGCACTGCGGCGGCCTGTAGGAGATTGTCCTGCTCCTCGTCGTCATCCTCCTCGTCGCCTTCGTCCTCCTCCTCCTCCAGTTCATCCTCCTCGGCCTCATCCTCGTCGCCGCCGGCAGCGGCAACCGCCTCGCGTCGCTTGCGCAGCAGGAAGACATTGTACTCGCTACGCCGCGTCTGCTCATCCTCGGCGGCCAGGTCGTGCTCGGCTATATTGTCGGCCAGGGCCACCTCCTCGTAGTTAAGCCCTTTGGCATCGGTGCCGTCGTCCAGATCGTCGGCAGCATCCACATCCGCTTCGGCTAGCATGATGCGACGACGTCCACGTTTCCGCTTCGTGATGGAGCGTCCGTTGGACTGGCGTGGCTGTGGCTGGCGAAGATTAGCTGAGGAGGATGAGGCGGAGGGGGATTCGGGGCCGCCTTTGGATGAGGGCGAGAACCAGCCGCTGAAGGAGGCGGGCAGAATGCTGGATACGCGCATCTTCATCTTGCCCATGATGGACTGGAAGTGAGGATTGGCGGGATTATGAATTGTCTGCAAAACAAATCCAGATCCACATCCGTCGTCACCGACGACTGTACTTACGTTGTTGTTATTGCCGCCGCCGGACTGCAAGCCTCCCGCCGAGGATTCGTCCTCCTCCTCTTCTTCCTCGGGTAACTCCTTTAGCGGCGTCATCGGATGCAGCTTGGCCAATTCCGCTTGCGAGGATTCCCTTTGCTCCTGTCCATCCTCCATTATGCCAATTTCAAATTTCGGTTTTCCTTTTTAGCCGGCGAAGCAACGGCACAAAAGAGAGACACGAAAAGCCAAAAAGAAGCGCCGCCGCACACACAACAACAAAACGTAAGTAAAGAAAAAAAAAAGGAGCACACACTGTTGCAATTCCTGCCAGCGAGTTTGTGTGTGTGTGTGTAGTGCTCGCTCACTCGCTCTTACTCGTACTCTCTGCCTCTCTCTCGCTCTCTCTCTGTCTGTGCGTGTGCGAGAGTGTGAGTGCGCTTACGCACGCCGTCGTGGTTTTTTTTTATTCTTTATTTTTGTGTTTCGCCGAGATTTCACACACGCGGCGATATATTTAAAAACTATTCCTTTTGGCGCCACAAACTAACAGCAGCATTCACATTGGCTTTGGCTTTGGCCACCACCTCGACGACTACGCACACTGGATAAATGCTGGGCACTGGAAAGGTAGAGGCGGGAAAAGGGATTTTGTACCAAATACGGGCAAAGCGTTTGCGTTTGGGTTTCTTCGTTTTCGTTCGGACTGGCCCGCCTTACCGCTCTCCTGCATGCCGCTGCCGCCTTGTTTTGTTCCTGCCTTCCGTTTCTTTTTCTTTTTTTTATTTTCGATCGCCGGACAGCAGCGCCGCCTGTCCGATTTTTTATCGCCTCCCTTTTGTCTTTGTGCTTCTTCCGCCTTGCACACACTGCTTTCGCAATTCTTCGCTCCTCTTCTTCACTCTTCTCACACACACACACGCGTGCTGCGAATCGGTACGAATTTTGGCATTTTCCTGCTGGCGAATACACGCACTTGTTCGCAACTTCAATTCTGTTTCGTGGCCGCGCTCACTTTTTCGATGGCTGTGCGAAAATAATGCAACGCCGATTTGTAACAAACGAAATTCCACCAAAAAAAGCACGATTTGGGAAAAAACGCGTGTGTGGCCACAGTCTAGAGCTGGAACTTGAATCGATGGTTGCCCGATACTATCGACGTTTCCAGAAATGTGCTACCATCGATAACTCTTTATGAATCCAACGATTACTTTCACTGTTATGGATTGTCAATTTTCAATATTTTCAACTGAAAAATCACTGAAAAAAATTTAAATAATGTGTTATATCTTTTTAGGGGGGAATCTATGAGATTATTCTATTTGCTCTTCTGTGTTTTTGAGCATGGCCTACGATGTTTCTTATATTTAAAGAACGTAATATATATCATTATAGTAATATTTGTTTACAGCCATTTAGCTTTTGAGATCAATAATTAGCTTTTGCATACAGATTTATGGACCATAACAAACTTAATGCAAAAGCGACGATTTGTGAATGGACAAATATTTAAATCAATTTGTGATTGCACCCGTAGCTTGACTATGAAATCGATTATAAATCAAACATTTTAATCGATATTTGTCCTAGAGTAGTTCAAAATGGCGAGTTAATTTGACGAGTGCTAGTGTGACCAAGGCTTTGGTTTTTGAAATTACCAAAGGACATGCGATAAATATAATAGAATAAGTTAATCGAAGGAGTTGAAGCCGCTAAAATTTAAATACATTTGTTCACTGATTTAATGCTGTTTTATTTGGTTTCTAAATACGGCGTTTTTTCATAAAGGTTGTCCAATTTGTTTTTTTCATATTAGCTGTGTCCCTGCTACGTTATTAAAATATAGTTTAATATGTGATATTTATTTGTATATGTGCGGCGAAATCACCATAATTGGATCAAAGATTAAACAAAAATAGCAGTAGGCCTGGTTTTAATTCATAACGTTAATCGATAAAACCACCCAAGCATTATTGCCATCTCTAATGTTTGTTGCTATTGCTTTCACCTTGTTGTTGCTGGGCAGGGCAAACAAGTGTTAAAAACTATTTGTGGTGCAATATCTTTAGCAATTACCGCTCGGCGATCGACTTGGTTGCTCGATTGTCTACGCCAAGTAAACGAGATTAGGACAGCAAAAGTCGCGGCAGCACCGAGAATCGATTTACCCAACCATCAGTCAAATCGGTAAAAGGTAAACAATTTGATTGATGAAAACAGCTGGAAGAGATTAGCACCTAACCACTGGGCTGCATTCCATTTGATTTGCGCAGAAATGAGCCAGACGGAGGCCACCAAGTCGTCCACGAACCCGGACTCGGAGCCTGACGAGGCGAAGGGCAGTGCCAAGCAGCTGCTGGAGACGTACCGTGTGTACGTGGTCACCTGGAATGTGGGCAGCCGTTTCCCGGATAACATATCGCTGCGCCAGCTGCTGGGTCTGCAGGATGTGACGGCATCGAAGGATTCGGAGGCTCCAACTCCCCACCTGCCGGACATCTATGCCCTGGGCCTGCAGGAGGTCAATGCCCAGCTGGAGCAACAGGTGTTGGGCCTATTCAAGGAGGATCCGTGGACGCGCAAGGCCAAGGAGCTGCTCCGCGGCTATGACTATGTGGCCGTGAAGACGGAGCAGATGCAGGGACTGCTGCTCAGCATGTTTGTGCGGCGACAGCATGTCGAGCACCTGCAAGACATCGAGGCGGAATTCACGAGAACCGGCTTCGGTGGCATTTGGGGCAACAAGGGCGCTGTGAGCGTTCGGTTCACCCTGTACGGCTGCGGCCTGGCCTTTGTCGTGGCCCACCTGGCCGCCCATGACCATCAGCTGGACGAGCGCATCGAGGACTACAAGAATATTCTGGAGAACCATCATTACCATGTCAAGCGGTACAGGGAGATCTACGATCACGACTATGTATTTTGGTTTGGCGATCTCAACTTCCGGCTGCAGGGCGATGACTCCTCCAAGGAGGTGCGGGAACTGCTGCGCGATGAGTCCCAGCACGAGACTCTCATCCAGCGCGATCAACTGTATCAGGTGCGCGAGAAATCGCAGCAGGCCTTCCAGGTCTTGAACGAGCGTCTGCCCGCCTTTCCGCCCACCTTCAAGTTCCGCGAGGGCACCTCCGAGTACGACCTGAAGCGTCGGCCAGCTTGGACGGATCGGATTATGTACGCCGTCCAGCCACTGAACAGGCAACCCGGCATGCAGCTGTCCATCGAGCAGTGCTCGTACAAATCCCATCCCGTCTACACCATCAGCGATCACAAGCCGGTGACCAGTGACTTCACCCTTAAACTCTATCCCAATGTGCGAGCACCGGGCGTGGTGTTCTCACCGCTGACGCTCTGGAAGATTGGCGACGAGAACACCGTGGAGTATCGCAAGCAGGCTGAGTTCGATGAGGGTCCCAACGACTGGATTGGCATCTATCCGGCCGAGTACGCCAGTCTGGCGGACTACGTGGCCTACGAGTATGTCAATCAGGCCGAGTCACCCACCTCCTCGGACTCCAATCACGAGGCAGATCCCTTCGACACGCCCTCGCATCACCGCAGGGGTCGGCATCATCATAAGAATCGCCAGCGATTGCGGCGACAACAAAAGGACAATGCCCAGGAGCAGGTGCGTCTCGATTTCGCCGACGATGTGGAGCTGCGGCATGGCGAGCAGTATCTGTTGATCTATTTCCGCAACACCGGAGTGAGGGGCGTGACCAGTGTGGCGGGCATCAGTGGCGTCTTTGTGGCGGAGAAGCGACCGGGCTCGCCCCATCGGACGACGTGACATTTCGACCACCACACGGGTTATGTATATTAACTGAGCCTATGAGACCGTCTTAATATTGTTTGTTTTTGCTGTTGACTCAACGCCGCCCCCCAAATACGTTTATATATTTGTAATTATACAATTATCCAACCAATTATGTTTGTGTTTGTGTACCTTTCCCGTCGCCCATTCCCATTCCCAGTCACCACCCCCACCCAGATTGCATCCTGCCTCGTTCTTTTGGCTCTGTTGTCATTTTGTTATTTTTATTTGTACGGTGTCATGGCACTAGATATGAATATTTAACCGGTTTCGCAAAGGTTAATTACGCCACTCACAGCCACATATTCACGCTATGACACACCCGCGCACAGTGGGTCAAAATACACACTTTTTAATTAGATTTTCAGCCAGGTTAATAAGCTGTTTTGGTAAATTCGTTTGAAATCCATTTTTAAAAGCATATACCTAAAAGTTAGTCAAAACCGCAATCTGAAAAGTGATATTTTTGAACATTTCTTAAGTAGAAAATAGAAAAATTATTTAATTTAATGATATATGATTGATTTGTTCCAAAAATATTTATAGAGCATGTTTCAAAATTAATTTATTTTTAAAAGTGCGCTTAAAGAAAATGTATTCACTATGATTCCACATGTTTTAATATTTATTAAGTAAAGTGGTGACCAGTTATTTTATAAATTTCAAACAAAATGAAAAGGTTTTCAACCTGAAACGGAATGGACTATATAAGAATGACTTGAAAACGATAATGATAGGCTCTGCCCTGTTTTCTATTATCTTATCTGATGGGTAAATAATTCAATAAATTATTTATGACCAACTCTTAACAAATCATAACGATATCTTAGATAAGAACTGCACTTTTATGATAGTTGAAACAAAATTAGACCACCAATTAGACATTTTAGGCAGTCTGTTTTAAACTATACCCACCGTGCAGTGGGTTATTTGTAGGAGCACTGGTTCCATAATTGGTAGGGTTTTATTTGTTTGGTAAAACCTACCATGGGCCTTATAGGTCAACAGTGCCCACTGTACTCGAACGATCTGTGGTCCGAAAACCAAAAAAAGATAGCATAAATTTATGCCGGATCGGTCAATTGAAATTCGTGTGGCTTAGTAACCTTCAACAACAATTAGATAACTATTACTATACCATACCCACACACCCGAAGACACTTAACCAACGCACGGGAATGCATTTACCACATACCCATATATATATAGTATATACATACGCCTTATCAAAGTGTACATTAATCAATTTACTTAATCAAGTGAAAACATTTACAAATGTGTAGTAAAATATATATGAATACATAGAATAATTTCGCTTGTGGGATTTCGGTTAATGATCAGTTGGAAGTAATGGAATTAGACTTAAATATGTAACGACTTTATAAACCGTATATAATGCCCAATAAAAGTAAACAAAGCAAAATGGAAGCCCATCTATGCACTGGACCATTAAAATATGTATGAAATATATAAGCAAAGTGATAATATCAAGACCTAACATAACTACTTTTACATAAATGTGAAGATTGTGTAGATGTTTTGAAGTAGTATGAGAACTTTTCAGACTTATCCGATCCTCCCTCGTGACTAACTACCCATTGGGTAGCAGGAAAAACCCTCCTAGATCCGCCAAAGCATTCAAGAGGGGGACGAACTGCTGCCTAGTTGTGGTTGACAGTCGATTTTATTGCTAGGTTCTTTATTTTTGCTAAATTGAAACGTCTTTGTCGATTCGCTCGACGTGGGTTTGAGGGAACTGAGGGTTAGCATTTTTTTTTTTCTGTGAGGCGCAATCTTGGAATCTTGTGTTGTTCAGGATAGAAAGTTTGGGTCGACGGTGGTGGACAAGGTCCAGTTCCAGTTCGTGTTGATCATTTACGGCGGCAGTCCGAGGGTTTTGCGCACCAGGCGTCGGGCGATGGCGTTGAACTCGTCTCGTCTCTCGCGCCACATAATGGCGGCATCGACATTGGCGCCGCTCTCATCGTTGGGTTCTGTGGGCGGGAGGGAAACCGAGATTAGTGGCTACTTGGGAAGGGGTTAAATTGCCCATGAGTGGATGAAAGGTAGACAACATCTGCAATAACAGCTGACCCACTGCCATGGGCAACCTCAACCCAATTGCAACGCCTACTTACCCGCCAGCATGCTGACCACGCTAAGCAAGATCTTCTCCACGCTCTGGACGGGACTCCAGCGCTCCGCGGACAGCTCGTAGCCCATGGGATCGTCGCCGGGCGCGTGGAGTATTGATATGCAGACCCGCCCGTCGGCGAAGATGTTGGGATGGAACATATCACAAGTGAATTTCATTTTTGGCGGACTCAGTGGATAGTCGGGGGGAAAGACGAGCCGGGCGGGGAACACGCCGCCCTCAAAGCAAGTGCCCTCGGGTCCGCTGCAAAGGGCAAAGGGCAATGGATTTAGTCTTGTCCAACTGATATGCATATATCTTAACTCACGCAATCAATGCCTCCCACTCGAAGAAGTTGTCCTCGCTGATGGGTCCGGCCACAATGCCCTCGGGCGGGTCAAGTGTTAACTCTGGAGAGGATTGGTTTTTGGTGTGAGAGTGGGTAAAGTGCTTAGTATGGACTTTCGACTTACGTTTGTACTCCGCCATTAGGCGGCGCAGCGCAGATCCCGCCATCCTGGATGTCTTCGATGGTGAATGGTGATGGTTTCCGTTCCTGTTCCTCCTTCTCCTCCTCCTCCTACTCGCTTTGCCTGTGCCGACTGTGCTTCCTTTGCGTTTCCTGCGGCTCCGCCTCCACCTGCTGCTTGTCCTCCTGCTCCGGCTCCACCCGAATGGTCACCCTAGTGTCTTGGCTGCGATCGCGCACTTTCCAGATCCTCGGGCAAGGGGTCAAGTGCAGACACGTCGTAATATAATAAACACAAGCCTTTCGGTGTTTATGTATATCGAATGTATCGAGTGGGTATTTATGACAGTATATTATAGGTATGACACTTCACTGCGGCCTACTGTAATCATATATATATTCGATAACGGGCGATATACGACCTATCGATGTTTCAGTGTGGTCGCATTTCAACGATTTCTTGTGGTTGAAAACAAATAAGTAAATATTATTAATAAATTGTATTACATGGGCAGCGCAGCTTAGTCACCGCCGCGGGAAATAAGTTTCGAGACAGGATAAAACCACCGGCAACCGGTGTGTTCCCCCCTCCAAACCAAGCCATGGTGAACAGCAGGAGTCATCCGGCGGATAATGGTCCTGGTCCGGGATCTAGTGGTGGATCCTCCCGCCTGGCCCTGTGCCTTATCCACTTCGTGCTGGCCGTCATCTCCGGCTGGGGACTGAAACGGAGCACCGGCCGCCAGGCGATGGCCGCCTTTGGCATCTACTTTGGCCACAGCCTGCTTTGCCTGCTGCGGCACACGCATCCCAATCCGGGTGCAGTGCAGCGGCTGCTGTGCGACAAGTCGAGGCGTTACTCCTGCGTACTGTTTGTCACCCTGGTGGTGGGCGAGCTACAGACCGTGAATCCGGCCACCCGAATGGGTGACTTTTTCGGCGCCGACTGGGAGCGCTTGGCGTTTGGTCTCTGGAGCTGCGTCCTGGCACTGGCGGTGACCAGTTTGTGGTTCGGTGGAAGCGGTGGAGGGACTCGCAGTTCGCTGGGCGCCACCTTTATCAAGCTGGATGCCGCCCAATTGGGCCTCTGTGTCCTGTGGAACGTCCTTTGTCTGTATCGCATTGCCATGGTCGACGAGCACTGGTGGTCACTCGGCCTGGCGCTGCTCGTCCTGCTGAACCACTTCATCCTGTGGCGGCTGCCGCTGCACTACAATATCACCCAGCTGGAGGTGGCCACAGTGGGCATGTGCTTCAGCACCATCTTCGCTCTGAACGCGATCCAGGAGCAACTGGATGCAGTGGCGAGCTGAGGACAGCTGGTCGGGCAATCGGGCCTGGAGCCTTGGTTAGCCAGTTATTAAGCTCTCATTTACTTTCTATTAACCATTAGCCGTACGTTGTTGATCAATTCTTTTGTATAATAAACCAATTTTCTTGATTTAATGCCATAATTAATGTGCATGTCCCTTTTTTAATCGATTTTTCAAGTGCTCTTTAAATATTAAAGGGAGTTCTTTAGCTATTAATACATGTTTTCAAATGTAGAAGATGTGGGGGTCTAAATAATGTTAAAACCATAGTAAATGTGGAATATATACAAACATAAAACAGTATTAGTGTCTTTATCAACTCAAAATACTTAAGATCCCAAATGTAAATACAGTTTCCAAACGTTTTTAATCATTGTTTAATAAATTTAGCTATTAATACATGTTTTCAAATGTAGAAGATGTGGGGGTCTAAATAATGTTAAAACCATAGTAAATGTGGAATATATCCAAACATAAAACAGTATTAGTGTCTTTATCAACTCAAAATACTTAAGATCCCAAATGTAAATACAGTTTCCAAACGTTTTTAATCATTGTTTAATAAATTATTATAATCCTTTAAGGCAAATATAATCTGTAATACCCACATTAGTCCAATTTTTTAACAAGACACATTCAAACGGATTCGTTTTGCATAAGCTTTTTAATACACATTTTTATTTTAAATATAATTAATATTACTTCTCTATGTGCTTTATTACATATTGATCTGGGTCTAGAGTTGCGCAACTCTCGTTTTCCCCGCTGCCCGACGTGTTTTACGCCACGGGCATGGCTTAACCGAAAACTAACTCACATTGTTAAGGAAAATTACAAGTAGCAAGTATGTTAAAAAAAAACTATATATATGTATATGGATCAAAAGAATGTGAAAACAAATCTTAGACCTACGAAACTAATAATTGGTCCGGTTCGGCCGGCTGGGACGAGGGATGGGTGAGGGCGTGGTGGGCTGGGGGCTGTGGATTTGGTTGGGGAAATCTCCTAGGCATGGGTGCTGTCGTCCTCGACAAAGTCCTTGGCCTCCTCCCGGGTCACACAATCAATGTGGCTGACCTTGTTGCGGAATCGCACACCATAGAACTTGTGCGCGTTCTCCAGCAATTCCGGCCGGAACGTTGTCGTAATGAACTGCGCCGTGTCGCTGAGCTCGTGGATCATGTCCGCCACAGCCTTCCGATGCATTGCATCCAGGGCCTGCACAAAAAGGGAATCATTTATAAGCAAAGGTGTACAATTAACTAGCTGGAATCATTAACTCACTTGATCTATCTCGTCGAACAGGTAGAAGGGAGCCGGATCGCACTTTTGGATGGAGAAGATGAGGGTCAGGGCGACCAGAGACTTCTGGCCACCGGACAGCTGATTCATCTCACGCATCTCAGCCTCAACACCGGTGAAGGAAACCCGAATGCCGATCCCCGTGAAGGCATCGGAATTGGCCACCTCCTTCTCCATCTCCTCGCCCTCGTTGTCCTTGGTCTTCAGGATGAGATAGCCCGCGCCCATGGGCACCAGCTTCTTGAACACTTTCGTGAAGTTCTGGGCCACCTGCCGGAACGTAAACTGGATGGCCTCCACCTTTTGCATTTCCAGCGACTGTATGAGCATGTGGATCTTCTGGTCGCCAATGTCCAGCTCCTCTTTGCGCCGATAGAGCTTCTCCTTCTGCTCGGAGAAGCTTAAGAACTGATCCAGGGCCTTCTTGTTGACATGGTTATACTTCTTTAAATGCTGATTGGCCTTCTCCAACTCTTTGAAGATGTTCTTCAGCGACATGCGACTGTAGGCGGGATCCACCTGCGGCACGGCGCCCAAGCTGGCGATCTTTTCCGTACACTCGTCGATCTTCTCGTTGAGCATGTTCTCCCTGGTAGACCATTTCTCCAGCTGCTTGGAATCCTTGTTGAGATTCTCCTCCGCCTCCTTCTCCTTGCGCACATGCGTCTCCAATTCGAGCTGCAGCTCCTTTTGCAGCTGCACCGCTTCCGTGACCCGCTTCTCGATCTCCTCCAGATCCGAGTTGACCTTCTTGATTCGCTTTTCGGCGGAAACCAGCTCCGTCTTGCAGTTGTTCAGTTTGCGTTTGCGATCCTCCACGGAGATCTCCTGCAGCGCCTGGATGAGTTCATCGCGGCGGCGAAACAGATTGTTGATCAGCAGGTTGTCCAGCTTGTTCTTGCGCACCTCGAATTGCATGCGCTGCGTGAAGGCCTCCTTGTTCTCTTGGTTGAGTCGACGGATATCGTCGTTCAGCTGGTCAATCTCCCGCTGATCCTGCGACGACAGCGTGGACATCAGCTCCTGCTTGAGCTCTGCCTCCAAACTGGACTTGGTGCTCGTCATCGACTCCAAGGAGGCTTTGCACTGCGCCAGGGAGCGCTCCTTGGGCGCCCGGTACTGCTCGATGCGCACCAGCTCCTCCTTCATCAGCCGAATCTCGCCCTGCACCTTCTCGAACACATCCTTCGACTTGCCCTGCTTCGTTTCCGTTTTCTGCATCTCGGAGACGATCGAATTGATGTTGTTCTCGGTGGACTTGAGCTCGTTGCGCAGCTTGCCCAGTTTCTTTTCGAATTCAGTTATCTGGCTGGTGTATTCCGTGCGCTTCTTTTGCATCTCCAGGCGTGAGCGTGATGTATTGAAGTAGCCACCGGTGAGGGATCCCTTGGAGGACACCTGATCTCCGTCCAGCGTGACGCAATCCAGCCCCGTGCTCTTGGCCAGCTCGGTGGCACGCTCCAGATTCCTGCAGATGAGCGTCTTGCCGAAGATATACCTCAGGGCCTTGTCGTGCTGCTCATCGTACTTCAGCTTGGAGATCATCGGTATGGAGTCGGGATCATCCGGATAATCGTGTATTTTCACCTGCAGGCGGTTCAGGGGCATAAAGGTCACTTCGCCGGGCAGCTTCAGCTTGTTCATCTCCTTGAGAATCTGCGTGCCCTCGTATTCCGACTCCACAATGTGATGGAACAACCGATTGGCCGCCGTCACCTCCACGGCCGTGTAGATGGTCTTGTCGCAGCTAAAGTTCTCGATCACGGGTCCATAGTAGGCCCGTGCAATCTCCGCCGATTGGCCGCCACGTTCCACGAAGCTGTCCAGCACCTTCCTCACCGAATCACAGCCGTTGAGGATCGGCTTGCCGGCCATGCTGCGCAGCGCCTGATCGGCCCGCGATAGCTCCTCCTTGTGCGTTTGCAGCTGCTGCGTCATCTGGGTTTCCTTGCGCCACAACTCGTTTCGCATGGACTGGTGCTGATCCTTGGTCTTCTTCAGCTCGTAGTACTTCTTGTTGTGCTCATCGATCTGAAGTCGGAGTTGCTCCAGCTCAGACGAGTGCTCCTCGATCTTCTGGCCCAGATCCTTCTCGGAGGTGGCGTCCTTCTTCAGATCCTCCACCAGCTTGGCATGATGGGCGATCTTGTCACGCGTCTGTTTGCTAATGGACTTCAACTCGTTGGTGATCCACTTGTCGCGATCCTCGCGAGAGGAGAACTGTGAGCCGCGACCCTGCTTGGCGTAGAGCTCTTTGCGCTTCTGCTCCTTAAGCTGCAGCTCCCGGGAGCAGTCTTCCTCCTTGCGCTTCATCGCCTCGTACTTGGGCTTCACGTCGTCCAGTTCCTTTTCGCGCTCCGCTATCGTTACCTTGAGGTTCTTTAGCTCCTGGTCGGCGCGCTCCTTCGACTTGTTGTCGCCCTGAACTTCGTCGTTCAGATCAACGATGGTCAGGTCCAGTTTGGTCTTCTCGCGTAGCAACTGCTGCTGCTCGGTCATCAGCACGGAGCGCTCCTCCTTGGTGCCCTGCACCTTCTTCTTGGCCTCCTTCAGGTTCTTTTGCACATCCTTGATCTTCTCCTGCGCCTTCTGGATCTCGATGTTGTAGATCTTCTTCTTATCCGAGGAGGATTTGCGCTGCAGCTGCAGCTCGTCGAGCGCCTTCCTGGTGTCCTTCAGCTCGGTCTCATACCGTATGTACTCGAGGGTGCGCCGCGTCTTGTCCCACTTTTGGTACTCCTTTAGCTCCTCCTTTTCCTCCTCGAGCGTCTGCAGGCGATCCTCGATGGTCTTCAGGTACTCGCTGATCTTCTCCACCTTGCTGTCCGTCTCCCGCAGCAGATTCAACGACTCCTCCTTCCGTTCGTCGTACACTCGCGTGCCCGCTACCTCGCGGAGCAGCTTAAGGCGATAGGAATCGGCCGCCGTGGCCATCTGATTGATCTTGCCCTGCTTCACAATGTAGTAGGGATTGGAGCTGGAGAAGCCGGCCGATTCCAGCAGATTGACCACCTCATTGCGCGGCACCACCTTCTTGTTGAGAAAGTACTGATCCTTCTTGGCGCCAATCACGCGCCGCAGGAAGATCTCCTCTTTGTCGATCTGCAAGAGAAGCGTAGTTTTAGGCAAGGGCTTAGATACTATGAGTCATAGTTAGGATTCCTTCCCAAACTAAATCCTTTAAGGGATTTTTGAAGGATGTGGAGGACTACTGCTTGGACTACTCACTGGAACTCGGTTGTCCGAGTTGTCGAAGATGATCTCCACATAGGCGGAGATGACGCGGGCACCTGTTCCCTCGTGGAGAAGCGACTGGCGCTGCTCTGGCCGCAGGTGGGTGAACTCATCGCTCAGCACGAACTGGATGGCTGCAAAACGGAGGGTTCGGATTAGGGATCGGTTTAGATGTGGACCTGTGTGCCACACTGCTACCCACCGTAGAAGAAGTTGCTTTTGCCGGAGCCATTACGTCCAACCACAACATTGTGGCGCTTGTCGAATGGTTCCACCACCGTCTGGTCCTTGTAACTCTTGAAGCCTTGTATAATAATCTGGAATTTCGGGGGGGATTTAAGACCTCAGGCGTTCAGCGGGCTGCCCGGCGCTTGGCCAGCAGTTTAACTCACCTGCTTGATGTGCATTTTATTATAGTAGACAGCGATTTTGCATAAAATCGCGCTCTTTTTGTTTACAACAAATACATAAATAATATCGATTCGGACACGGATTTATCGATGTTTACGGTTTCTTCATATATCGATATGCCATTTGAAATGAGAGTCGATGAAAAAATACTGAAAATATGCGTTCAAGTGGTACAGTCTGGCAACTCTGGAGTAAAGTATTCGATTGAACTACGGCGAACAATTTGAATTATTTCGTTATGTGAATGGGGTGGGTACCATAGAGGTACAGTAATGCATGGAAAGTTCAAAAAAAACATAAATACCTTTAATTTATCAGTTTTTATTCCTCAACCACGATAATAAGGTGGCCAGAAAATATAATTCAGGAATGTTTAGGCTGGCTCAGGGTCGCTAAAGGTCACTAAAAAATTAACTATAAAAAAAAAATTATAAATAATAAAGTATTTAAGATTTGGATTCGAAGAATGGTTAATTTTCTTTGTGGTCATAAAGTTGCTTTAAAAATTACTGATAAGTCACGTATGCTAACTAGAAATATATTGCAATAAACTTTCAACCAAAGGCAACAGTACGTATGAGTGATAAGTTTGGAAATAAATTGTAGTATACTTAATTGGGCAGCGGAAATCCAGGAAAACGCCGAGCAGCAAACAGTATGCTAGTTTTTTTTACCACCTAATAACAGGCAATAAGAATTTTTCACAAGCAGAGCAGCAAAAAGTATGCTAGGACTATTAACCATCTAATCGTAGGAATTTTTTACGTTATTTAAGGTCTTCAGGTCTTCCTTTAATCCGGATTCTTAATAAATAATTGTAAGCTATATTATATCAATTAAAATATTAAAAATTTTAAGCTTTCACTAATATTAGAGTCTTTGCTTTAAAACTTTTAAGAAAGTAAAAAAAATATTTTTACTCTGAAGTTAGTAAAGACCTAAGGAATTTATTATGGATCTATTAGCAGGATAAGAATGTAATGTACATACATATATAAATATTATCGTTTCTATTATTATTCTTTAAGTTTCTGTTTAGATGCATGGGAGAGATAAAAAATATATTTTGAATTATTCATATTTTAAGCCAAAATTAAACACGGGATTGTGTTCCATCTCTATGATTCAGAGCTTTTTCATATTTTTAAGTAACGCACAACGGTCACACTTCCGTGTAATCGAAATCGATTAACCGAGCGAGCGAATTATCGAGTGCAACATTTGCGACATTCGATATTTCACGCCTCTATCGATTTATTGTGAGAAAGGAAAACGGACGAGTCGAGTGCAACATTTGCGAATTGCCCCTGCTGCGCGCGTGCACTTTTTATTAATCTCCCGTATAAATCAGATATCGCAGCGCTTTTCTCTCGTGTGCATTTCAAACGCGCTCCGCTAACACACAAAAAATAGAAAGAAAGAAAGAAGAGCAAAGCAAAAGGCAAAAGCTTAAATCGTCGAGAGTGAAAAAAAAACGAATAGAATTTCGAGCTAAAAGCAAGCGAAGCTAAGGTAAATTGCAAGCAGTCTCTGTTTTTTTTCTCGTGCTATTTTCTACATCTCATCCTCCCGCATCCCGCCACCCCCCCCTCCGCCAGCCAACCCCCTTCGTCCGCCCCGCCCCCCCACAAATTGTGCAACACACGCACGCACACAGTCGCAAATGGGAGGCTTGGAGCCGTTTCAAACCACCAACAAACACACGCACACATGCCCAGCCACACGCGCGCATATACATATACCAATATACATATGCATACATACAGCTGTATGTGTACATATTCCAATAAGAACGGGCCAAGACGTGAAATGTTTTTTTTTTGTTGTGTGTGCATACATACATTAATTGCATTAAACGGGCCAAAAAAAAAGGAGGAAAAACGCAATGTCAATGTCCGCTCCTGAGCGTTTCAATTAATTTTTCTGTCGATTTTTGACAAAAAAAATTATTTAAAAAAACAGCAAAAAATACGCGAGTGCAACGGGTAAAATAACATGATACACACAACATGTGTGTGTGTATATAATATATATACATAAGTATATAGGCAACATTTTTTTCTCTTATTAGTCATCTTTGGAGTGTGTGTGTGCGGTGAAAAGCGATGAAATTTCAGCTGAAGCTGTGTACGTACATCCCCAAAAACAATTTTTTTCGTGTGCAAAAACCAGCAAGAGAAAAAGTGAAAAAAAATCATAACGGTAAAAGGCTGCCAAAGGCAACTGAAATGGAAATATCAGTAAAATTCAACAAGAAAACTTTCGTGTGTGTGCCTGTGTGAGTGTGTGCAAACAAGAGATTTTCTCGGAGAGAGCCGCACGTAAATTACGGTTCTCCTCGTCCTGTCCTGCGTGTGTGTGTGTGTGTGTGTTTGTGTGTGTGAATGTGAGCGGCAGGACACCAAAGCAAAAGCTACGAAAATTTTCATGCTGTAGCAGCAGCACATAACGGTTCTTCCTTTGCTTTTCTCAATGTGTGTCTGTGTGTTTCTGTTTTTTTTTCTCCTTTTATTTTTTTTTTGCCTGGCTCTGCTGCTGCGCAGTCGCTGCCGACGTCGCATACACAGAAAGAAATGTGGGATGATTAATGTTATACTAATAATAATATTAAACACTAGTTTATTTTTGACATGTACGAGCTAAACTGACATTTTTCCAATTTTAAATGCAATATTTATTTATTACCTTGAAGAAATAGGAGGTTTCTTTGGTAGGATGGTGGTTTTAAACTTGTGTTTTGATGAAAAAAAAATTTTTTTTTTATTAATATCTTTATAAAACGAATCTTTATTGTTTTGGAGATGCTTTTTGTTCTGTGCTCCGCTTTGAAATTGTTTGTCCAAGTTGGCGCTCTCTCTTTGCCAGCTAAATCTCTCTCTCTGTGTTAGCCTCCTTGCTATTTGTTGTCCTTCGACTCCTGAGCTGAGCTCTCAACTCCAGGGACATGTCACAAGGTTCCACTGTGCGCGTGTTTTCATTCCGAGAGCTTAGGCCCAAGGTCCCAGGCTCATCTCGTCACTTTTGCCCCTTATTCCCAATGATTTCCCCCCCCAAAAAAACCCATTGCCCATCATTTACTCCGATCGAACCCCATTGCATCGCTGCATCGCAGCACTGCTGCATTCCTGCATTCCATCCCAGCATTCCTGCATTCCTGCATTCCCCTCAAGCTGCTTCCTTTCCCACGAGGAGCGCCAGGAGGTGCCAAGTGGCGCGCTTGTGCCGGGAACTGCTGCAATTCATTATTAATTACGGGGGGCGTCCAATGCAATCATCGAATAATTGCCCCATCGACGTTCCAAGCGATTCGCAATCGACGTTCTGCCATTTCGAATCCCCCCTACCCCTAATTAAAAGTCCACCGCCAACAATTGTCGCCAATGTGTGTGCTTAAAAACCTGGATGGCATTCGGTTTATGCGTCAAGCAATCCGCAAATTTCCAAACTTCAAGAGCTTACTAAACTTTCAGCAGGATAACCCACGTAACTCACACTTCAGAGATGGTCTTGAATAACCATGCCTTCAAAATATATATTTAAAAAGTTGTTAACATAAAAAGATCAAGACATAGAAGCATAGTTACTTAGGTTGAGGTTCAATTCCCACTACTACCCAAAATAAATGTTATCGAAAGTGCTAAAAAATATAAGGGTTTTGGGTTTTTATCAATAAATAAAGGTGCCTAAGTACAAAGGATTCATTTTAAAGTAATTAAGTAGGTATATTTCAGTGTTATAATAAATACATATATGTTTTTAATGGTTAATTGCTTTAAAATTATACAAATATTCTTCATATTACACAAATGTTTCTTTCTGTGCATGGTAATCCCCGAACTTGCTCCAATAAATGGCGCCTTTCCAATTCACAATTTTTAGAAAGTTCCTCAAAAAGTTTATCCAAAGCGACAGGTTGGAAAAGCCATTTATTTCAAATAAATTGGTTTGTATTCGTATCACATATTTTCCATTGCTTTTGTATTGTATTCTATAAGGTTCTTTGAGTTCTGAAAAGTTTGTTTGCTTTCTGGCATATTTCCTAAGATCCCCCACCAGTTTCTGAATGGTATTCTTTTTTATGTATTATTAATGGTGGCCATGCTCGTGTTTTTCAATCGATTGTTTTCAATTGAACAGGTGCTTCTATTAAAATTCAGTGTGAGTTGTTTTTCGCCAAATTCCCGAGTGCGCGGCATAAACATCACGGTAATTTTAGCGTAATTTTCAAAGCACTGAATGTGGAAGTTTTGGGTGGTAGAAGGTGAAGTGGAGGGTTTTTTGATTCGACTCGAGTTCCGTTTGTGTCATTTTCAAATGCCCCATGGCACCCGAACCCCACCCCTCCATTAGACCCGTGCCGATTGTCGATAGAGTGATTACCTATGCAAATATGCAGTTTGGCAGCTAAACGGCTTGCGGTTTACATTTACGAGCTGTCATTTACCAGTTAACAACGGAGTGCGCTAATTACTGGTACAAACTGTAGCTGTTGCAATTCGCAGATGACATTTTTGACATTTTCTTTTTTTTTTTTTTTACAATTAGCTGGGCGACAATTGCTCAAAGTGGCAACGAGAGGCTGCGTGGGAAGCCGAAGCCAATGGGAAATGACTCACAGCAACGCGAAATGGCCAACAGAACCAGTCATGATAGGCAGACTAGATAGACTAGATACAATACAATACAATTGAAATGTGTGGAGGGAGGGGGGGAAAGAATATAAAAAAAATACAAATAAATAACAAACTACAAAGAATGGAAATTGAATAGTAAAGCACCCGCCAACACACAGAATTTCAAAGCAGAGCGATGCGATGGTCGGTCGGTGTGTTTTTCTGGCTTTTCCGAACACACACAAATTGCGCTAATAATAGCGAAGGCGGCAGAAGAAACTATTAGAAGTACAGAGAGTTGCGCCCGAGTTTTCTGCTATGGGAAAAAATAGCACAAATAGGAAAGCGAGCATAACAACAGCGAAAAGAAATGAAATGAAATGAAAATGCTTAAAAAAAGCCCACAGAACTTGGTGGAAATCTTCCGTGAATTAGAAGTCGAGTCGGTTGCAGTTCGCCCTGGGTCCCCAATTATACATATAGGGGTGTACATATATATACCCACAAACATGTTGCACTTAAAGAAATTTACCCAAGAAATATCCGTATTAACGATTGTCATTAACACTGCGCTAAACTATCAATTAAAAACCGAATAACCCATAACGCCAGTATTAAAACTTTTATTGACCTGTAATAAAGCTCGCTTCTGCTGCAAACAAACCTTATATGCTATGTATTTAACGTTTTTAATAACCATAAAAGCATTTTCATTAGCTTCTTGTTCATATTTTTATTTTTCAATATACCATCTCTTAATAATAAATATTTCGTGCGCGACATGAAAAACCTTTTTATTTATAGAGTACGTAAAGAAAATTCAATTAACCTAGATGCATTTTAACACAAAGGAAATATCTTTAAAACCATCTCCTAATAATTGCTATGCAAAACGTTTTTAAACTAAATTTCAACTTTAGTCGCTTAGAATTTCATTGAACCAATTATAATAATAAACTTATCATAAAAATAGGCAAAGAAAACATTATTCTTTTAAAATATTCGCATATTCGCTTTTAAAATGGACATTGAACGAAAGACAACATGACCTGAATTGGATGAACGAACACGTTTTATTAATTTTCGAAATTTAGATTAAATATTAATTTAACCCATTTGCATTTTGAGTAAAGTTTAAAGGAGCGTTTGTTTGTTTCGGAATGCAAATATTTTTGTTGGCATGCCCAAGCATACGTTTCATGTACTCTTCATACAGTTGTGTTCAAAATAACAGTCGTGGGGCAGCTAAATCCCTATAAATAAAGCTATTAATATTAGTTTTGGACCCTATTTGAAAAACTTATGACAAAACTTAAGTTTATTTTATAATTTCATATGAAAAATTAGGTGCGAGTGTTTTTTTTTGTAATGTATAAACCCATATAGAATTTTATGAAAATCACGTATACGTAGAGTAAGCCAATAATTACCGGTGACAAATATAAATATGTTTGTAGCACTAGCAAATCCAGGAATTCGTTTGAAGGCAGTTTATTGATACTTTTATAATACCTCATTTTCCATGCACTTTTTTAATATAGTGTGGGGACTTGAACTCTAAAAATAATACATATTATTCTAAATACAACCATTAAAAAAAACATTAAATTTATGTATGTTGATTTTTTACTATTCTTATTCGATTTGTATATGTTAAAAAAGGAATCAAACTGCCATCGTTTGAAGTTAAATGGAGATGGGCGGTGCTATTATTGTGAGTCTACCTGTATGTACATACATATATACAGTTATTCCCAACAGTTTCGGGTCAATTGACTTTTAGTGTAGTGCTGCACACATACATCCGTTTTTTCTCTGCTCTGTGTGTTTGTGTGTGTGAGCAGAGGAGCAGGGAAAAAAGGAAAAAGCTCGCAAAAAGTAGCAAGCAACACGGCAACT